ATGCTCCTTCTATTTTCACTTGTCATGAAATGAGAAGTGTGAGAACTTTGATAAATGGACTGAATCGTTGCCTAGTAAAGCTGAGTGAATAATTTGCAATGAATAATTTATCCAGCTGTTTAGCCTCTTTTTCCGCTTGTGCTGTGTTTTTTTAAGCAGATTGCAAATTCTTCAAATATATTCATTATTCAAATAATCTTTGATCCAGAAGAGTTCTCAGTGGGTATTTAATATTCACTACATTGTGCGTGTGTTGGTTAGTTGCAATTGAGATAGTAAATGTACATGGTATTGTTTCAATTATCCAGTTGTTGCTACTGGGTATTGGTGTGCCTTTAAATTTCATTTTATTATTTCCACTACTTGCACTTGATTGTCCCATCTTTATCAGGTCCAGTCTGATGATGTGTATTCAAGATGGCAGCTAAACTGAGTGTCTCCATGGCCTTGAGCATAAAATGGTGGAAATCTTTCAAATCCTTCCTTGAGGAGGTCACACCTCCGTGTTAATATTCAGGCATCTACTGATGAAATTTGTGACAGCTTTTCAAAACTAATTAATGCAGCTGGAACCCACACTAATAATTATTTAACTTCAGGTTAGTTAGGTCAAAGGATAGCTGACATGATGGAAAGTAGTTGGTCCTAAAAAGTTCTTGTGTTTTTAGTTTTTCAGTTAGTAATATCAGAACATTCCATCCCATTTTGATTAAGCCACATTTTAGACTCCTTCAATAGTGTTTGACCTGGATGGATGGGCATATTAAACAAAATATTAGAATGGCTTTAAATACCGGGCTGGTCATTTAATAACTTGTCAGGAAAATACTGAATTCTACAAACTAGATCATCATCATCATGAAAGACACAAAACCAGAGAAAAACCTCCCTAATTTAAAAAAGGAGAGACAGCTGCAAATATAGAACAGAATTACTGGGCACGGAAATTCAACTGTTTTAAAGTTTATTCACAGCAGAGGCTCTTTGCTGCCCTGGTTAGTCAGAGGCCTTTATGACTGGTGAAACGGAGCCTAACGTGCTGCCTTTCATATTAATCTTGCCATCCTCCCTGAGGGATGGAGTGGTCACTGCCTCTGTTCTGTCTCATGCATTATCCACAGTGTTTGGTAATGCTTTGCAAAGGGATTGCAGCCAATGAGCTAGTGACTAGTATCAGTCATTTGCTAAAGACTGTAAGTGGAATGAGGAGTTAGGGTGAAACAGCCCCATTGGCCCATCTGATCATCATCTAACTTCTGCAGATTTCATGGGTCTATTATGTACAAGTGCCCTAACAAAGGTCTCTCTCGTAAAAGAAAGAAAGTGATTAACTCACAGTGTGTTGTAAATTTAAGATGATTTTTAGACTCGTGTGTTGCAGGAGTGGAGCTGTGAGTTTGAAAATTATTTTTATACAGGTTGGGTGCTTTTCTTGCCTTACTCATGTGACGATTCTCACTTAAGTCAGTAGTATTACTCATATGTAATTCAGGAGACACCATCACAGGGCCTAATAACATCAGCCACACTATCAGAGGCTCATTCACCTGCACATCCACCAATGTGATATATGCCATCATGTGCCAGCAATGCCCCTCTGCCATGTACATTGGTCAAACTGGACAGTCTCTACGTAAAAGAATAAATGGACACAAATCAAATGTCAAGAATTATAACATTCATAAACCAGTCGGAGAACACTTCAATCTCTCTGGTCACGCGATTACAGACATGAAAGTTGCAATTCTTCAAAAAAAAGGTTCAAATCCAGACTCCAGCGAGAAACTGTTGAATTGGAATTCATTTGCAAATTGGATACAATTAACTTAGGCTTGAATAGAGACTGGGAGTGGCTAAGTCATTATGCAAGGTAACCTATTTCCCCTTGTTTTTTCCTAAACCGCCCCCCCCCCCCCGACGTTCTTGTTAAACCCTGGATTTGTGCTGGAAATGGCCCACCTTGATTATCATACACATTGTAAGGAGAAAAGGAGTACTTGTGGCACCTTAGAGACTAACCAATTTATTTGAGCATGAGCTTTCGTGAGCTACAGCTCACTTCATCGGATGCATACCGTGGAAACTGCAGAAGACATTATATACACACAGAGACCATGAAACAATACCTCCTCCCACCCCACTGTCCTGCTGGTAAGGAGAGTGGTCACTTTAGATAAGCTATTACCAGCAGGAGAGTGGGTTTGTGTGTGGTGGGGTGGGGGTGAGAAAACCTGGATTTGGGCTGGAAATGGCCCAACTTGATTATCATACACATTGTAAGGAGAGTGATCACTTTAGATAAGCTATTGCCAGCAGGAGAGTGGGGTGGGGGGAGGTATTTTTTCATGCTTTGTGTGTATAAAAGATCTTCTACACTTTCCACAGTATGCATCCGATGAAGTGAGCTGTAGCTCACGAAAGCTTATGCTCAAATAAATTGGTTAGTCTCAAAGGTGCCACAAGTCCTCCTTTTCTTTTTGTGAATACAGACTAACACGGCTGTTACTCTGAAACAACTCATATGTATTAGGAATCCAGGATTTGGTCCATAGTGGACTTGTCCCATAACTCGTGAATTTGGGGAGTGTTTCAGTGGTTCTCAACCTATTTACCATTGTGGACTACATATGCAGCTCTTTGTGTGTTATGTGGGCTGCAGCCACACAATATATATACTAGCTGTATGGCTCTGAGGATGCCACATGGGCCGCAGCTATGTGCTGATTGACCGCAAGCAGCCCGCAGGTTGAGAACCACTGGTTTATATCTTCTATGATAGAGACTACTGGGCCACATGTATCATTGGGCCTTATCTGTTTACTGAGCTTCTGGGGTTTGCCAATGATATTTAAATGATCTTGTGAGCAAGCCAATTCTTTCCTCTAGATTCCTTGCCATATGTAGCTTTTTCTTCCTGAAAGAATTTTTTTATTTTTGTTTCTGGTGCAGGTGAGTGCATAATAATGGCAAATCTAAGCCTTAAAAAAATAGTGGTATGGTATGGGATCCACGTCCTGCAGGGTGGATTCTGTGCAGCTCTAGGGCTAGATCCTCTGCAGATGTAAAGTGCCTCTGAAGTGTTCCTAGCCTCTGTTTGACAGAAGTTGAGAATGGGCAATAGGGAATGGGTCACTTGACGAATAGCTGTTCTTGGCGTTGCCAACTTTCTGATCACACAAAACCGAACACCCTTGCCCCACCCACTCTCTGAGGCCCCGCCCCTTCTCCAAGACACATGCCCTCCATTGCTCCCTCTCCCCTACCCTCACTCATTTTCACCGGGCTGGGGCAGGGGGTTGGGGTGCAGGTTCCGGGGTGAGACCAGAAATGAGTGGCTTGGGGTTCAGGAGGGGTCTCTGGGCTGGGGCTGAGGGGTTCGGAGTGTGGGAGGGAGCTCAGGGCTGGGGCAGCAGGTTGAGGTGCACGAAGGGGTGTGTACACGGCTGGGGGTGTGGGATCTGGGGTGGGGCCAGGGAATGAGGGGTTTGGGGTGCAGGAGGGATCTGAGTGCTGGGTCAGGGGGTTAGGAGGTACAGGAGGGGGTAAGGAGTGTGGGCTCCAGGCACCAGCCTCGCAGCTCCTTTTGGCCACGTTTCTGGGCGAAGGAGAGCTGCGGAGACGGCACTCAGGATGGGGGCAGTGCACGGAACCTCCCTGGCCGCCCCTGTGCCTAGAGGCCGCAAGCACATATCGGCCACTTCTGGGAGCCGCACGGAGCCAGGGCAGGCAGGGAGCCTGCCTTAGCCCCGCAGCACCGCGACCGGACTTTTAGCAGCTCGGTCAGCGTGTTGACTGGACCCGCCAGGGTCCCTTGGCGACTGGGCGTTCCAGTCGAAAACAGGATGCCCGCCAACCCTACCTGTTCTGTTCGTTCCCTCTGAAGCACCTGGCATTGGCCACTGTTGCAAGACATGATACTGGGCTAGATGGACCATTGGCCTAACGTATGGCCATTTTATGTTCTTATGTCGTAACTCCGCTGATGACAGTTTACAAAAGTTGAAGATCTAGCCCCTAAAGTTCTTATTGTACTGCTCAGTGTTGGTATATTTGGGGGCTGAAGGGCTTGACCATTTCTTTGTATGTAGTTCATGAAATAATTGCTTTAAATGAGTGTGCAAAACCTGAAAAGTATCACAAAGCCACTTCGACAAAAAAAGTCACTTTATTTCACTTAAGGGCTCTTAACTAGAAGAATAAACTGGTGTGTGTGTATGTGTATGTATATGTTTTAACAAATTTAAATACAGTCCTCTGGCAGTACTGTATAATAAATTGTAAATCTTTATTACTTTGAAAGTCACTGCAATCATGATTATTCTGGCTTTCACAATGAATGCTGTGTTCCATTGAGATTTCTACAGAATGAACTAATATGCAGCCCTTATAAAGTCAGAGCAACTTTTTTTTTACTTTAAATGGATATATTAAGTCTCTATAAATTAAAGGTCCTTTCTTGCCAAAGCTGATTGTGCTGTGAATTTTACCATAAGAAGTGAGTTTTTGAAGTTAAACTCCAGATGATGCTTTTGCAGGAGTTAGCTGTATACTTAAGGCACTGAAAACTATGGGGGAAAAAACCCAACTAGCATTATCCTATATTATTGAGCTGGCTCATGGGGCTTGATCAGTGATCAGCATTGACAGAGCTTCACTACAGGGAAACTTACAGCAGCTCAGCAGCATAGTAACATTTATGGTGGTATTTTGGGCCTAATGCATAGCAACCAATATATTGTAGGAGGGGGAAGAATGGGAGAAGATGAAATAAGGTAAAATAAACCCTAGCCTTAACAAATCTGCCAATTTAAATTCCATTGTAGCTCTGCAATTGCTTGTTTGGTTTAATTTCCTTTCCGCACAAACTGAGATGTCAGCCAAACCTTAAACTCTGCTGCACTTGCATTCTTTTCTGTGGCTTCAGAGAGTTCTCATTTCATTCTCTCTCTCTTGTTTTCCTCTCTCTTTTTCTTTTTGGTGGGTGCCCTGAATCTCTCAAGCAGTTCAGGAGGCCGAGCAGGAAGATATAAAGGTGGTAGCAGATGCTCAAGCTCCAAAATCGACTAAAAAAACCAAGGCAGCAGCTGCAAGCTGTCAAACTGGCAGCACGAGAAAGGAGAAAAAGGGGAAACACAAAGGTTAGCTGCATGCTGCTGAATATCAAACATTGGGTTGAGTGGCAAGATGCTTCTGTATTTTTTAAGATTCTTTGAATGTGTGTGATGGTTGTGATAGCTGACAACTGTTTAAAACAAATATTATACAAATGCATACACCAGATGGGAAAATTTGCATTGCTTGGTCCTAATTTAGCACATACATATTGAAGTAAGGGATGGTCAAGATTTGTTGTCCTAATCGTTTTGCAAAGCCATGTATTAATGTAGCCTGTACTAAAAGAACAAAGGAACAAAATATTAATATAATGGGCACTTAAATTCTATAGAGGTTTTAGGAAATTGTCTGCTTAGAGCCATATTACACCAAATCATTTTTCAGATCAATCTGCACTTGCAGGAATCAGACATAAATTGCAGAAAATTCTGTCCAAAACTGAGTTTTAAAAGCTGTACAGATTTAGGGTCATTGCCCCTTTGGAGTCATTGGGAGTTTCCCCATTGATTTCAATGGGGTCAGGGATTCACCCTTACTATGGATTTGAAGTTATTTCAGAGCTATTACCCTCTGTCAGGTCAACATACATTTAAGGGTATAAATAAACATCTTTATGAAATAGTTCTGGACGCTAGCTCATAGACACACATAGTACCTATCCTAAAAATGTAATATCTAAGGCTGTTTAGCAAAAACAAATATCCACCATAGACAATGACAAAAGAGTGAACAGAAATGGAATTACTGGCAGTATAAGTTTTAGCAGCCGAATCATTTGAAAATAAATGGAGCAAGTGGGATGAACTGATTAAAAGCTGTATCAATGATTTATATATATATATACTTTTAACTGGAGACTAGATCCAAAGCCCATTAAAAATCAGTAACCTTTCCACTGACTTCAGTAGGTTTCACATCAGGCCACTATAACCTATATTGTCTGCACTCAGCTGTTTTCCCTTTTCATATATATCTGACATTCTCGCCTTAACTTCATAGGTAAGAAAATAATTTGTATGGTTAACAATCGTGTTAACAATTAATTAAAGAAAGCTAGTTGCTAATGCAGGAAGGCCCCTATTTCTGCTTGTGAACCATAACTGGAAACCCCTCTCCTGGAGTTGAGCAGCTTTGGTGCCTAAGATGTTTCTGGTGAGAAGGAGGTAGGGGCCTGCCTTGCGCCATACAAAATGGCCAGAGGAGGAGGCAGCACTCATTTTATAACCCAGTGGTTAGAGAAGTCATCTGATATGTGGAAGACCGAGGTTCGTTTTCCCTCTCCCCCACCAGAGGGGAGAAAGAATTTGAATAGGGGTGTCCCACCTCTGAGGAGAATGCTCTAACCACAGAGCTAGGGATGTGGTCGCTCTCTCAGTCTCTCCTGTTGAAGCTGTTCCACTGTGGATAAATACTTAGTCAATAGAACCAGGGGGATTGGATCCTAGGTCTCCCACCTCCCAGGTGGATGCTTTAACCACCAGGCGATAGAAATATATTCTCTCTCTCTGTCTCTTTCTGTCTCTCAGTGACTCCTAAGTATTTATCCAAAGTGGAACAACTTCAGCAGGAGAGATAGAAGGTGCCCCTTCTCCTCCTGTATCAGATTATTCCATAGCTCAGTGGTTAGAGCACCCTCCTGATACATGGAGGACCGAGGGGGGAATTAAACCTTTGTCTCCTACATCCCAGGTGACTGCTCTAATCACTGGGCTAATAATATGAGGTGGGCAGCACCACCACCACCTCCTCCTCTAGCCAGATTTTGAATGGGACTCAATCCGGTAGGTATGCTCAGAGGCCACTTTCTAGATCAGGCCAGAAAGGTGAGATGGCACTCCTCTGGCTATTTTCCTCTGGTTCATGGATCACACTTGGGCTTAGGCAGGAGATAGCCATCCCGACACATAGTGAGGTAGCAGTGTGCAGAATGCTAGGCACTTAGGAAACTTTTACCCTGAAAACTTAGGTGCCAAGTGAGTTGAGGCTACTGTAGTGTTAGGTAGCAGCTGGGCAGGAGTTCTGTGGATCTCAGTGATGTGTCTAAAACTGAGATTTAGGCACGTAAGTACCATCATGGTCCTGAGGTAAAATTATATTGTACAAACCTCCTTGTCTCTTTGATACCCTGGGACCAGCATGGCTCCAACAACACTGTGTATTACATTTAAAATCACAGTTTTATATGTATTTGTTTTTTTAAAAATTGGCTTCTGAACTGAATTAAAAATTGCTGTTGGAATTTAAAAAATGGGAAAGCCAATATTTCTGGACTTCAGGTAAAAATAATTTACACCAAGGCAGAAATTTGAGCACCAAGTTTTGCTCGTGAGTTAAATCCTCTTAAAACTTTTAAACCTGGAAACTTTCTAATGGAAGTGCTGACTCAGCCTGTAGCTGAGCATTGTGCATAGTAGTACATAAATCATTTTTACTGTATAATCACATAAACTCTGGGCTCTAGTAATACCCAGATTTTGACTGCCATATTTTGACTCTGGTAATAGTCCATTTTCCTTATATGGGATTTCTATACACATACTATATAATGTACAGAAGATAAAATATTACTTCAGTCAGTTAAAATAGATGAGATTTTGACAAATTTATATAATTAAGATTTGCATAATACTAAATTGCATATAACCGACTGCATTATACCTTTTTCTGTGCTGATTTTCAGACCATTTTCTAATCTCTTGGTCTAAGCTCACATGGTGAAACTGACAGGAACTTTGCCATTGACTTTAGTGGGGCCAGGATTTCACCCCATGTTTTCCTAGGTGCTTGTTTGGGTGCTATGGGAGTCTAATCCTGGTTGGGACCTTTGAGCACTACTGCAATAAAAACAATAATAATTACAGGAGCGTGTTGTTTAAAAATGCCTGATATGTCCTATGGGACAATGTCTGATGGAGAATGTTCTATAACCATTGGTATTGTTTTTGCTGGATAGTTGACTCAGTGAGAAAAGATTTGCTGTGTGTAGTTTAGTTTTATCATGATCAGTATGTGCTGACCAAGTTTATTATCTCAGCACTGCCAATAAATTAATACTAAAATTTTTGACCCCCAAAACATTGCTGCTTTGTTTTCAGGAAAGACTTTTTAAAAAGAAAATTCCCAAGCAGAAAAATGTTGACATATTTTAGCAGACATAGGTCATTGCAATTGTAGTAATTGCATATATTTTAGTACATACAACATGAATGAATTTGGTAACTTTTGCAAAGCGTATTCGCCGTTTTCCTTGGAGCTTTTGGTAGTTTTCACGTACCTGAGGGATTCATTTTAAAAGGACACTGTCAGATAGTTGAGAACTAAAATTTGTTTGTTTTTTAAATTATATGAACTAATAGCAGCAGAAAATATTTATCTGAATTAAAAGATAATCCCTAATATAACTTTTAACCCAAACGTTGTAACACTGTACTAGTGTAATGAGCGTGAAACTGGCTAGTCTAATGTGACTATCCAAGCTAAGTGAAATGTGAATAGGGCTTCATCATGTAAGCAGATGAACAGCTTCTGGAATTGTTCAAATTCTATTGAAGTCTGTGGGAGCTGGAAGAACACAGCTGTTCCCAGAGTTGTTCATCTTCTTGCAGGATCAGGCCCATAATAAACAAGGTGAAATTCACATAGTTGCATGAAATCCCCTCCACGCTACTAAAGCCCCCCTGAATGTGGTTGTATGCATGCAGTGTGCACATGAAAGAACAGATGGGGCACAGGCAGAGCAATTGTACTGGGGGACCTCTGTACCTCCTGGATGCCTTGGAGAAGGAGTCTCCATGCTGGCGCTGACTAGGCCAATCTTGAAGGCAAGCTAGAGTCGGGCTTCTATAAGGAACCACTGGATCTTCAACTGCATGGATCCTAGTGGCCAGGAACAGCTAAGTAAGGGATGTAGACACTCTGGTTTCAGAGAAGCCCTGCCTGCAGAAGAGGGAGGTGAATAATGGATTTTATCCCTGCAGTGATTTTCCTGTGTGAAGCCTTCTTACTCTTGCTTTGTGCAAGGAGAAGTGATTTCACCAAACGACCATAAAAGGTGGAGGTTAATTAAATCTTTAAAATTTCTTTTACAATCAGGTACCATCACCTATCTTGTTCATTTAATGTGAATTAATTTACCCCAGGATTTGTATCCTCACTATGTCCCTTTAAGCAGCAGGATGTACGCTGGAAAAGGTGTGAATTCACATTGTATTCTAAAATGACATGTTTTAAAGATTTCTCTGATGTTTAACAGTCGTGCAGATTACATTTCTGAGCGTGGCTCATCCCGTTGTGCTAAAGAGACCAGATTTTATGAATAATCAGCTAATTCAAACCCAATACATTTGAATTATATATGAGCAGCATTTGAATCTCTGTTGTAATGATTGTACTCTGGGTCTTAGATGTGTAATGCTTTTCTGTGTGGCTCCAAGAATGATGAAACTGCTATCAGAACAAAGTGATAAAGATGAGTATGAGGGAAATATTAGGCTTAATGAGGCTGCACTGAGAGACAGCAGGAGAAGCAGCCATAGGCTGAGACTAATTGGTTATGTAGAGCAGCTGGTTGCTCCAGAGATCTGGGTTAATATATTCTGTGGTTTTGCTCTATGTAGTACAATGCTTAGCAGCTTCGCCAAGAACAGTAACTGTTAGGGTTTTTCATACCTCACTATGATAGTTAATAGGTATTGAGCCTGTTTTTTTTAAACAAGCCTCCACTTAGGGAGCAGAACTGCAAGTGCAATTAATTGTAAGCACAAACACTAGCACTTAATAGTATCTAAGCTACTTGATTAAAATGACGAATCTGGTAGTTAGGCATCTGAATACAAACATTTGGACCTGCAATTAATTGTTGGGTGCAAACTGATTTGGGCGGCAGCAGAGAGATGAGGAGGCGAGAAAAGAGGCCAAGTTACGGTCACTTTAAAACTAACCATAAAGTATGTTTCCAATTAAACACAGTAGGACAAATTCTGTCTTGACTTATCGCCCCATGCAATTATGACAATGGGGTGCA